TACTTCGAGTTTCTTCAGCTGTACCTGGGACGGAAGGTGGCGCAAAAACTTGATATTTTTCGTTGCCCTATGCTGCGGGGTCTTCAGCGCTGCGAGGTCATGGTTTGGCCAAGTTTGCCAAGCCTGGGTAGAGTATTCGACGTGAGGAGGTTAGCACGCATTGAGCATCAGGTAAATGATGGATGAATCCAAACTCCCTATGATACATATATGAATATTGACAGGCAGCGTTCAGAAGAGGAGTTATTCACTTAAACAGATCCTATGGACTTGGCGGCGAGCAGTCGAATCGAATGATGAATGAATTGGCCAAGACAAATCTTACAATTCACTTTCGCTCATTATTACCTTTATACCCGACGATGCAAAATTGGCGTTGTACGAATGTGCCTCAGGTTTACAGAGGCTGACTTAATAACTTAGTCAGCACTCACTAGTAAGCGGTGTTAGCAAAGCACACACGACCAACCCAAGTGTGTTACATGTATGGATGCACTGTCGGTCCATAAAACTAGATATTGCATTCGTATAAAATTTAACCGTTTTCCATTATCTTGGTTAACAGCGTGGTGTTCCAAGCGCTGTTAGTATATGGCGGCTATTTGTGCACTGTCGTACAGCGGTACCAATGGACGCCGTGGATTTTCGAATCATCGTGTGCTGGATATTACTGTTGCATCGGATTACTGTGTTTGAAGTGGTTTTTCTGTGTTAATTGTGCACTAATATTCCTCTTTTGGTGTATTTTCCAATCTGTGCAAATTTGGCGGATATGCTTCTGCTAATTCTGGCAAGTTCGTTGATCGGCCCAACCGCCATCTGTGTCCACCATCTTGGATTTGCTCTATCTTGTGATGCCGTCTCAAGCTACTTGTGGTTCGTGTTCGCAAGTCGTTGGACATAAGGCTCATGCACTTCTGTGCTTCAGCTGCGATGTTCTGTTCCATCTTTCGTACATTGGCCTATCTGTTGATCTGTTTCGAAAATCTCTCGACATCCGACCGGATTTTCCAAGTTATATGTGATAAATGTCGCGGTGCAAGACATCAGAAAACACAGCGGCCGCCAACAACTACGGGAAATCCTTTTTCCAGAAAGAAAGAAACCATTCACCTCGTGGTGTAAACCGCCTTCGTGAAAGCACCTCTGTCACTCCACCTTCTCTTGTCACTCCGAGATCTGCACCACCACCAGCGTTTTCGACTCCGGCCGAGCCTCAGATTCAAAGTTCCCCACTAATGGAAGACTCAGAATGAGAAGCTGTGAAATGATGCTTCACTGATCGATCCGGGAACTTTTCAGAGTCTGCCCGTGAACTTCTGAACACCGAGGATCCATAGAGCACTCAAAAGCGCAAGAAGCCACGTAATCGAATTCAGGTGTCCCCTGCTGATAAATCATAACCTAAACCGATAAACGAATCTAGTCCTGCCCCCACAGGCTCATCACCGATTTCGCTGAGGCCTCATAATCTCATGGTCTTCCACATACAAGAGTCAAAAGTCAGATACTTTTGATCACGATGCTGAGTTCCCCTAGGATCTCATCGATAGACACTTGAATGTGGTGAAGACAGTGCGACGATTAAACAAGTAATCCGACTTGGCCAGAAAACTAACAATTCATGTCGATCTCTGAGAATCACATTTGCAAGCCACAATATGCCGCAGCTCATGCTGTCTCGTTTGTCAAGGTTGAAATGCATGAAAGTTCACATCCGCCGAGACTTGAAACCCGAAGACAGGGATCGTTTGAAAGCTGCGGTCATTGAGCTCAAACGCCTCACTGAAGAAGGTGAGACAAACTTACAAACTGTAAGTTTTCGTGTGGTCAAGAAGGGTGTACGAACCCATATCAACTGGTTGCTCAACCTCCAGGCACGTCCCCCGGTACCTTCCAGGACCTCCGTGTGGCATTCGCCAATGTGTGCAGCATAATGAACGGAAGTGACGAACTGTGCCACGTCGCTGTCTCGGAACATCCGGATGTTTTAGGATTTGCAGAGACTTGGCTGAACTCCGATGTCATACCCCAAGAAGTCGCGTTGTCAGGATACTCTTGTTTCCAAAGCGATCGAAAATAAAAACCTACGATAGTGTTCTGGTGTACATAAAATCGTCACCATCTGGTAAACTTACCAGCACCTAGCGGAGCGAGGACAATTTGTGCGGGCAATTGTGATGCACAATCCGCCTCAGACGCGCAGAACCAATAGTGGGTGTTATCCACCGTGGCCCACTAAAAACTTGTTGCGATTAGCTATCACACATACAGAAACACATAAGCCGCCCTCATTTCTTACTGATGAGGATCTAAATTTATCTAAGGTATACTGGCCAGACGTTTAGCATCTTCCCGGTCATGGCAACGTTGAGGCTCAATTCCCTAAAATGATTATTGAAATCGGGGCAACACAACATGTCATGCAACAGATGCGTGTAACTCCGTACTCGGCATTTTGTCTGGATCTAATGTTTACAAGTTGCGAGCAGAAGCTGAACGAGATCCGAGTCCTGGAACCTCTGGCGAATAGTGATCACTAGTCCATTGTGGCAAGCGTAGAACTGCCGTTACTGTATTACGACCAACGGAAGCCGACATTCAACCATTGGAAGACAAATTTCAAAGGGCTGGCCCAAGCCGCAAATCAAACTGATTGGACACTAGCACAGGATGCGTCGGTTGAGACCTCTTGGTCATTAATGAAGGGGAAGCTAAACTCGATGTGTACTCGGTTCGTTCCCCCGAAGTATTCAAAAGTCGGACATGTCAAACCGCATTGGTTCGATACGGGATATAGACATTTAGCGCGACGGCGTCGCAAACATTGGGATAGATACATCCGCTCGGTTGTGCTGAAGATTACACGGCGTACAAGAAACAACGTAACTTATGGAACGCCACAAAGATCAAGAAACGCTGGCAGTTCAAAGAGGAGCTAGCATCCTGGGCCACAACCGCCCCCAAGAGAAAGTGTTCCTACTTGAAGCGACAGTTGAAACCTGGGGGTGACCTACCGGTCTTATAACGCTTAGACGGACAGATGCTCATTTCAGGCTCGGAGTGCGCGGACGCCTTGGCTACCCACTTCGTCACCGTATTTTCCAATTAACTGGCGGCTGTTCCAGTACCGACACAGGTTTCGCCAGTCTTGCTCGACAGCCTACCACGTGATGCAGTTGAAGTGTATCAGCTACTCGTCAACCTCAATGGTGCAAAGCCCACCGGACAAAACGGATTTCACCCACTAATACTCAAGCCCCTATCGAATGTCATCTCACCAGCCGTGACAAACCTATTCAAGAAATCACTCTCTGAAGAATCTGTTCCAAACGACTGCTTCCAAAGGGTGATGATCCGAGTAAAGTAGAGAACTATTAAACAGATCTGGTTGACTTCGATATTATCCAAAGTTTTTGAAAAGATTGTGAAATTGTGTCTGCTGTCGTTCTTCGAATCGATGGACGCATTGACATCAACGCAATACGGCTTTACGAAAGGGCAATCCCGTTTCACCTACTTGATGTACGCAAACCACCAGTGGGTACGAGTTCTGAACGAACGGAAGGAAGTTGACTTGGTGTACGTCGACTTTAGTAAGACATTTGACAAAGTGAACCACGAGGTACTGCTTCGTAAACTGAGGACCTACGGAATCGGTGACACTCTACTTCAGTGTTTACACGAGTTTATTGTGGGACGAAAGTTTAGAGTGCAGGTCAATTACTACCTGACAGACTGGTTCCCATCGACCATTGACGTGCCTCAAGGAACCGTAATTGGGCAAGTAATATTTCTTATTCATATCAAGGATCTTGCGCAGCAGCTACAATCATCATGGGCCCTGTTTGCGGATGATTTGAAAATCTGGAGGATCATTGAGAACCAGGATGACTGCGCTCGCCTCCAGCATGGCTTACATCGACTGTCAAGGTGGTCCAATGAAATGCAACTCTCTCGTAATGCCAGCAATTCGAAGTTCATCAGTGTCACCAGACGTTTAGCCACAAGGTCATACAACATGGACGGCCAGTTGCTCTACCCCAACACATCTGTCAGAGACAGGAGTTCTCTCGCAGCATGATTTGAGATCACTAGAAAATACAGAGAAATTGTACCGTGCGGGACTTCGTATGCTCTGGACATTACGACGCAGTTTCTCCACATGGTCCGAAGAAACCGTTCCTCGCCTATTCACCTCGCTCATTAGACCAAGCCTTGAGAAAGCTGCCCCAGCTTACCACCCGATAACCCAGCAAGAAACGCAAAAGTTGTCGGAAATACAGCATAACGCAAGTAGAATGATACCCAGTCTACGAAAGCTTCCGTATGAAAAACTTTGTGAAACTCTCGGGCTCTACACACTATCCTACCGCCGAGTAAGAAGGGACCATATTATGACCCATCGAGTACCACACTTGCATAACTTCCCCATACTGCAAACAATATTTCATCTACAATACCCTGTATTACCCGAGGACACCATTAGAAACTTAGAGTCCCCTGCATGAACAAGGTATGACGTCAGCTTTGTAGAGAACGAAGAATCGTGAACGTATGTAGTACACTACCAGAAGGACTAACACAGACCGATTCTGTGAGGTGTTTTAGAACACATATCGACGATTATTTTGGAAACGTGCTTTTTGTGAAACGGTGCACATACAATACCAAAAGCAGACGTCGTATACCCGGAAATAATGACACCAATACGAATTCCTAACCGAACGATAATAAAAGAGTAACTGAACCAACACTACCGCTGAGGATTCGCAACTAAGTGTTTTTGATTTTTCATACTTCATTAGAGTCATACAGAAATCTTTTTACTCGCTCTTAAATACAGTCTCAGTGTAACCAGTCCACCAACAACTTGGCGGAAACCAACAAGTGATGTCTAGTACAACTGCGATTGGGCCACATGTTGACTCTCATGAGCCAATGGTTTTAGCTTCCGAAGGTCAACAGTTCTCATGCCCCACAAGTTGACTTGAATCTTCACACATTTGTCCATTAACTTCAGTCTATCACGTTACTTGCTTGCATTTGGTAAGCTTGTAAGTGATGGACAAAGAGGTAAATACCAACTCTCTGACACCTAATACTGCATCACCCGTCAATTCTGTAACACTTCATACCCGAGATGCGGAATACGCAAAGCTACCAAGGGAAATGGCTTTAGCTGCTGTCGAAGAAAGAATAGAAAAATACGGAACGAAAGAGTGTCCAATAGTTAGGGATACGGATCAAAAATTGCAAGCTTGGTATCAGTATCTCGTTCGGCTGCATCTTCAGGACGCCCATGTAAAACAATGGCTTAGAAGTCAGTCTTCATCTCAATCAAGCGTCTCTGCTCACCAAAATGACTCCCACCATGTGGTTCGGGAAGCGGAAAGCGTTGCATATGGCAGTCAGAATCGAAAGGACATGGAAACGAGTACGTTCGCCTTTTGGGATTTGTGCTGTGTTTTTAAAGAACCACACTTTATTGAGAGCTCGCAAAAGTGTACTGAAACTAGGTTCTTATCACTCTAAGGCGGTGAGACTCGTGGTCGCGTACAAAACAGTACTGCCCATTGTATTGCGTGGAGTTTGGCTGTCGAATAGTTAACACTCTACCAGCTTTACTAATGCGTATACTCCAGTAAAGGGTGCTTACGTGGTTAAAACAGTTGCAAAAGCCTTTTGAATCCTTTGTTTACTACTTTATTGTCTGACTAAATTTAGCAGTTTTCATGCATCCGAGTAGGAAATCGATGGTAGAACAATGTATAGGTATAACTTCACGGACACCTTAATCTCTTTTATGTGCATTTGTGCTCATTCCGTCAGGGATGCTATGGATCTAATCTAAGTAATCTCATAAACAAGTCTTTAACAGGAATCCAGATGCTACCCAATTTTAGAAAGATAGCTGACGTTCACTCAGTAACCACATACATATACAAGGCTTAGTCGAAAAAAGGAATTAAAGTAGAAGGTTTCAGTGTCGCCTTCTCCTATCACTAGAAACTTGCATTAAGTCAAACACTACGCGATTTTTCCACACGTCCACAAATAATCTACCATCGCTCTTTGGACATCAGAAGGACAGATACTTCGGTCCATTGGGAAGTGACGAGTGAGTGAGCCAATCAGCAACACCAGGACAGATACTGTGAGCTCATTGGCAATACGTCGCCCACCAAACAGAAGTCATTTATTAAATTGCGCACCTGGTCGTCAGCCCTCGGTCGCTCAGTTGTAGAGCAGCGGGCCGGTAATTCGTGGGACCGGGGTTCGATTCCCCGCCGAGGCGGAATATTGTGTGCAGTTTAATCGTGACTTCTACTTTCTACGAACATCCATTTTTATTTCACTATTTACCTACGGATAACTGTTAAGCGTTTGATTTTCGTTCCTTGATAAATCCATTGTTCCATACTCTCGTTATTATATTATAAATTCTTGCAGTTGTTTCTAGCCACATTGCCACCTAGACGCTACTGCAAACGTTAGTGATTTTCTACTGCGCGAAACAGTGTCAGCTTGATGGAGCCCATGTGAGAACAGTCAAGTACAAGTTCAAACGGGACTGGAACGATAGGATTATCCCGTGAGTGTTCCTTCTTCGGCGGGTCGTTGAACCAGGAGTTGGCGGAGTTTGAAATACTGATGGACCTAAAACAAAGACCGCATCACACTCTGTCCAACCAAGTAGTGCCCACGTATCCTGCCCTAGCAGTCCCTGCTGGGTCGGTTACGTGAAGTAAGAAAGAGAAAAAAGTAAACTCAGAAGACAAAAAAGAAAGTGGAAAGAGCTAAACAAGTGGAATACCAAGATATTTCAGTCATTAAAAAAACTGAAAAGTGAAGGTGAGTCAGATAGGAAAAAGGAAAAGTTCGCTGTTGCCACCCAAGAGCATCGAGCTGGCGCGCAAAACCCTTAACCGCAGGTTCCCCAACCACGTGATCTGGAAGCGAATTCCAGCGATCTATAACTCGGCGCGACAGACGAGTTTCCGTCCTATTCCTATCAGACCGTGGTTTATGCAGTTTCAGTGGGTGGCCGCGGAGATTAGGTAACGTAGTGGGATTAAATAGCCCTGACAAGTCCGAGCCAATCTTACCCGTCAAAATACGATAAGTGAGAATCAGGTCCCTTCTTATCCTTCGGTAGTGCATTGAGAAAGCCTTCAGGATACGTCTGTCCCCGTAGACCCTGCACTAACCGAGTGCCCACTCGTAACACCCTCTCCAAGTCCATTTTCGCTCGGTTAAGATATGGTGGACAAGCCTGAATAAAATATTCCAGGTGGGGTCGGACGAATGCCGAGAATAGCTTCACAAACAAATTGGCCATTAGGATTCCGAAAGAGCGGCGGAAAAACCAGATGATACGAAAACCTCGACAAGCAGACTTCTTCCAATTGTCGCCAGAATGAAGTGCTGATGCGTGTAAGACTCCTAAATCAACCTGCTGAGTGACTACAGGGAGTTCACCTCTGTCGACAACATATCGGGTGGGAGGATGGGCAGCTCCGCTTCGGAGAACAGAGCACTTGGTCCAGATACTGTTTAGTACAAGTGGCATTTAATGTGCGTAACGTATGAATTAGCGTGGAAGAATGTTTACGGATGAACACCAATGTATTCAACGAAGTACTGTGAATTATGAAAATGTTCACAGAATCAACACGGCTACCGAATTCATGCATGTGATTTAGGGCATGGGTGGTTATAAGGGACCGAACATATGAAAGGCGAAGTGGTCTGCGGTTCACAGCTTACCTGAATGAGCTAATTCGGGTAACTGCATGTTATCAAGTATACAACTGAACTCCATGCAACCACGCAGCCAATCGTTGGTGCGCCTTTTGTTTTAGTAGGATTACTCAGCACGGCCTAGGGAAGCACTTAGTCTACGCTCAGCGCACGCTACCGATAGTGTTGCTATCCCGGTTGGCTTCCTGCCCACGTCGAAAGAAAACTGATTGGCAGATGCGATGCCTCCAGGTACAATTTCGCACTTATAACACATCAGTTTTAAGCACCGCGCCCACACCGGAACTCACAACGTGCATGGTAAAAAGGGATGCAGGATGGCACGCGTGCAAACCGAATCCCTACCTTGAAACCGGGGGAGCCTCCCGACCCACCACAACGTTTGCATCACAACAATACAACGTTAACTCTCCCAAGCACCTTGCCAAAGAATTTCAGGTCAATAACACGCCACTGTACAAGCATTCCCACAGCCCTTATAAAGTGAATCATTGTGTCCCCAACTTTTCAGAACAGGCGCTATGGCACAAAGCGCCGACGAAGCGGCCAATACCCTGCGGCCACAATGAGCCCTGACTTTCGAACGTGCATCCTGTCCGTGTCACACTCCATCACCCATCTTACCGACCCCAGGGTTTACACATATCATCATCATTTCAGCAAATGTGCTTAGGAATTTGCTATCATTGTGCGCCCATAGTATTTCGAGAACCAACCTCCCGAAGGCACTGGAGGCTACGGAAGCTGAGCTAACCGAGCATCTATCGCGGCTTTTCTAAAGGTGCCTAGATGGACACAAAGTCTCAACCATGCGGAAACAGGGCATTAACACTAACAATTTTAAAGGCGGCAGCCGTGTTAACTGTGCAAACTTTCGCCCAGTTACTCTGCTCCTTGTGCTCGCGAAAATGACGAAAGTGATCTTCGCTGAGGCTGTAGTAGACTACCCAGAAAAATGATATGTCAAAGCAGCGTAACATCATGGTTTGCGTCAACACCAGTCATGCATCACCAATCTGCTTATGGCAGGAGGTAGTTGGACGGAAGCGATCCAGGGAGAGTTAGCGTCAACCACATTTTCCGAAGCTTTTGACTGTCTAGATCACCGCGTCCGACTTCACGGGCTACAGGGCCATGGGATCTAATCCTACAGAGGAATCTTCAACTTTCGTCCCTAACAGAAGCTCCAAGAGAGCGTCAGGGGTGGTCCACCAAACCGATTGTGGTGTAATGCGGTATTCCACAGGGTCCGTATATGGGACCGCGACTACTCCTGATGCTTATCTACCACTCGGCTAATGTTATCGCCTATAATTTCCTGCTCATTTCCGATGATGTCAGGTATGGCGGGCAAGTACTAGCAAAGACGATCACATTTTCCTCCAATGTGTTCTGGATGACGTTCATGAATGGTCGACAAGGAACTCACACCCCTTTTAGAAGGCTCAATACAAGCTGATTCGTTTGTGTCGAACTTCGGCGAGGACGTCTTGTATAAAGCCAGTTCATCGGCTTCCGTTTGGAGCCCTCTATCCTCCTTCAGATTGGTGTGCCTCAATGTACCCACATTGCTTCAGATCGGTCAACAGGCAACACTTGCCCGAACATTAGAGACGCTCTCTATCGATATCTGCTGCTTATCGAAGACCCGCCTGCAAGACTAGAGCTCTGTACTTACTCTGCGGTCCGATTCAGGTGACACAAGCAGTATTTTCTAATTGCGCCTATCCTTTGACGATGCAGCTTCTAACACCGGTCAAGCCGTTGTTGGTATTGCACTGAGTACCTGGGCTGAAGATGCTCTGGTTGCTTGGATCCTAATTAGTATCCTGATGTGCGCGGTCCCATTGGCTGGCTCGTTCATAGCTTCGAAGTCGCACGGGACTAATAGGTGTCAATTCATCATACCTGCCTCGCGTCCACAAACTGTAGCGATGATTCGGTAAAATACGACTTCTACTGCCAACTGACCCAGCTCCTTCACCACCGAAAAAGCACGGACAATGTTGTGTTGGCGGGGGATCTGAACGCACAAGTTGGAAAGTTGTCCACTGACGAAATGCATCTGGGCAGTCAGCACGATGTAGGCTCCCATAATGATAATGGTGAGCAGTTACTTCATCAGTGTGAGGATGTCTGCTTATTTCTTGCGAGCACTAATTTCCGACACAGCACCCACCGTAGGGTGACTTGGCGCCCACCAGCCTCGAACCAGTCTTGGACGCAAATCGATCACATTGCGATAAGTTACCTATGGAGTGACTGCGTCCAGAATTGTCGCTCGATTTGGAACACATGTGGACACCGACGATGCGCTTTTATGTGCTGACCTGCAAATGCGTTTCGACGCACACCCACGACGACGCTATGTGCGCGTTGACACCAGCCAACTGGTGAAGCCAGCTGTTCTGAATGCCTATCTAACTAAGCTGACACGCGAGTTGAGTAAGCGCTCACTGGGTGCATTTAAAGCTCACTGGTCATGTTCACCAGACCTTACTGTCAGCAGGTAAGTTTAATCGCCAACATGGACATTGGGTCTCTTCGCATCTCTGGAACTTATCGATGCTCTCCGTCATATTTCGACTGGAAGCAAACACAACCTGACTCGCAAAGAGCTCAGGGCAAAACTCCGTGCTAGCATGAAGAGAGAGCGCGAATCCTAGTGGTCTC